ATGTTTTGAAAGCAATCTTCTCCTAGGGGATGAAATCAAATTAATCATGGAAAAGTTTGCTGACAAATATTTGTTAAATGAACAATGTAAAGGTATGATAAGGGTTTTATTTTCTGCTCTAAATGATGCGACTGCCAATTTTAAGATTGTAAAAAGAAACAGTCCCTCCAGTGAGCTGAGAGTTACTTCTTTGTGTTTTGTATCCAATATTCTGGCTTTGTATTACAGAAGAGCAATCATGGAACAAGCATGTAAGCCATGGTTAAAATGGCAAGTTCACTTATACGTGGCATATTTGACCATGTTAAAGTAAAATGTAATGAATGAATGGGTTAAAACTATAAACGTATAGCTATTTTACAGATGCAATCACATAATATTGCTCCCAGAATTGCAGATACACTGTAATCAATGTTATTATTTAACAGTTCCCATAAGTCTGCCATTTACACTGTATACCAGGATACTCCAAATAGATCAAATTTTTAAATGCAAAAATAGCACCAAAAAGATACTTGAGGAAAGCTTGATGAATTCCTTTATGCTTTGGAATGGGAAAGACCATTCTAATTATAGTATAACTCAACATTTAGAAGTCAAGGAAGGACTGATAATTATTTACATAAGCAAACAGACTAAACAATATTTGGTCAGTAGTGGCAAAATATTTTGCTCCTACTCAGTTATTTTTCATTGATATCCGTTTTCTTTAACACAAAACAAAACAAGAAACCACATCATTCAAAAACCTTGAACTCCAACATGGTCTTTTCTCACAAGACTCTAACCAGACCTAGTTCCTCTCAAGCATTTCTGAAAATTATTCCCCTAAAGACAGAGCAACCATCATTCTGCTTCGTGTGTGTGTGTGTGTGTGTGTGTGTATAATTTTGTTTTAACGTTAATCCATTTTTAATATAACTTAATTTTGTGAGCATGACTGGGCATGACATTTACCCATTTCTTTCAATCCCATGTTTATTCTTCTATATGTTCTGGGTGATTGGGGCCTGAGAGACTACACCTTGAATTTCCCCAAATCTCTTGCCAGATGGTTTTCTCTTAATGTGTATCAATGGGAGGTGCCTGTGGGAGATTTCAGAGGGAGAAGGAAGATGGGATTCTCTTCTGGATTTTAGAACTGGCCTGCGTTTCTCTAACTACAAGAAGCAATTATGGCGCAGTCTCAACATCTTCATTCAATCCGAGCACCAACCATCTGCACCCTATGGAAGACATGGGCATTGCTACACTGCATAGTGACACTCCTGCCCCTCATGCAGAGTCTAAGCACCTGCTATGTATGAACCAGGAGCCTCAGGGAACCCTTTTCCTGATCTCCAGAAATTAAGTGACAACTCTTTAGTTACCCAAACCCCAAGCCCCTAAGTTTCGTGACATCATCTTTTCCATTAGGTTCCCCAAGCCCAAGGAGTGCTAGCTTTTCAAAATCTATGTGACTAAATTTTCTGTTTTAATGATCTTTTGTGTAAGACCAAGCATAATTTCTTTTTTTTTTTTTTTTTACCATAACTGATACTATAAGTAGTACCAAAACTGGTCACAGAAATCACACCTCTAAATATAGAATCCTAGAATTCATTTTGATAGTGACAAGTTATTGGACACTGACAATCTGTAGCACGCAAGGGCATCAAACTACTTAGATGAACAAAAGTAATTCCTTTGGATTAAATGGTCTGATGTAGACCAGGCTTCAGGATATCAAGTGACTATAGTAACTGAACATTATCATATTGGCAATGATATTAAAAATGAAGAGTGGGAGGCTGGCTTCTGATTATTCTTAAAGGCTTACAGAAATAAAATGACCAATCGCTGTCGAATGACCAGACAGGTACTATTGTGCTCCTGAAATAGTCACATATATCTTATAAAGGCAGAGCAGACACCAATAAATATATCTCAAATTGAATTATGTTCAATACAAATTAATTAGATAAGTTTAATTTCCATGTTCCTTATCACTTGTGTGGATAAAAGGGAATGGGAGGAGGGATGAGCTTGTGATATTGGAAGATGAACATTTGCATGTTCTTGGTAGAAGTTAAAACCCTTGAGTGTTCAACCCCGAGATTCTCTCACCAGTGGAAGCAGCACCTCCACCTGTGGGTGAGGAGAAGCATACTCCCTCCCTCGTTTAGAAAGTGAGTTCATACTAAATCTCTCAGGTGTGCTTCAAATAGTCTTTCTTTAAAAAGTTTCTGGGCTCCTGTAGACAGATAGGTTGGTATATCCCATTGCCTACAAATACCAAGACATTGGATTACTATGTTTTGTTTAGACATAATCTTCTACTACTTGACTTTACACGTAATATCCTTGAGAGCCTGGACTGAATCTTAAGCATCTTTTTATATTCAGTTCTTGCATTATACTGTATCCACTTATTAAGGTTTTCTGGAGAAAACAGTCGCTTTTATGGCAAATGGTTAAGTAATTGTGCAATTAATTGAGATTAAGAAGCTGAGAAGAGGAGAAGGCTTGTAAAGAGCACAGGAGAATAATATGTTGAATTGAAGATGTTCTGAGTGTGAAGTGTCTGAAAGAGAGCCTGACAGAGAGCTATAAACACTTGTTTATGAGAGAATGAATGAACAAATGAATGAATGTGAAATACTCCAGTGGGAAACTTCCTTAGGCTTCTGAGGCTACAGATTACATGAGAGATTTCTTAGCAAGATAAACATATTACTCTGTGGTTGGTTTACCTTTGCACTGCAGAGAATGACAGACCACAACCTCTTCAAATGTCTCGAAATCCACCCGTGAGTAAAGGGCTTTATCGTGGCTTTTTAAACAGGATTATGAAGATATAATTGATATTTAATGAACTGTACATATTTAACACAGATTAAAAGTGTACAATTTGACACATATATACTGAATAGAAATACTGCAATCAAGAGAGAATATATGTAACTAAATATACATATATCCGTCACATCTAGAAGTTTCCTTATGCTTCTGGTAATGCTTCCTTCACGCTTCTCTCAACCCTGTAATTCTAACAAACCACTGATTTTATTTCTTTCACTATATTTTAGTATTTATTTTCTTGAGATTAATATAAAATTAATTTATACAGTATATATATTTTTGGTCTGGATTACTTCACACAGCATAATCATTTTGAGAATCATTCACCTTGTAGTATGTATCAGTAGTTCTTTCCTTTATATTAATTAATGGTATTCCATTTTCTGGATATTCCTCAATTATTTATCCATTGGTAAACACTTGGTTATCATTGGATAATCTGGATATTATGGTTATCGTTTGTATAACCATTATTTGGATAACCATCATTTGGATATTCTTTGGATAAACAATGCATAAATTGGTTATTAATTATCTTGAGATGCCCATTGGGACTGCTTCTAGTTTGGAGCTATTACAAATAAAGCTGCAACAAACATTTGTGTACATTTCTTTAACTGGACACATTTGCTTTTTTTTTGTAAAAGTCTAGGAGTGAAATGGTTCAGTCATATATAGGTCTGTGTTTAATTTTTTTTAAGACATGACAAATATTTTCCAAAGTTTATATAATTTTGCATTTATACCAGCAGAGTATGAGTCAGAGTGTACACTTTGTCCAAAACTCCTAGAATCACCACATAAAGAAAAATCCACCTCGCTATTATACATTCAATATTGCAATTTTTTTTCCCCATCATGATATTTTTTACATTTTCATCCAAAGCCATTCCATGCTTTAATCCATTTTAATTGAGCATCTTAACAATTCCTGGTTCACTCTCCTTAGCATTTCCTTTTTTCTGTTTAGGATCCATCTACTCTGTTTCCTGTTTTCCTGTTTTCTAATCTGTTGCTCAAGTTGTACTTCTCAGGTCTCTGAGTGACCATTCTGTCCACTGAGGCACAGAGAGCTGCGCTCATGAACGTCACAGAAAACTGGCTCCCTCCTGGCCAGTCAGAAGGCATCTCAGGGACAGAACGGTCACTTTGCAAATATTTTTATTACAGATGGGATTTTCCTCATTTGTGGTTTCTTCGATTGGCTGCCTTAGATATCTAACTGTTCCTATTCAGCCTTTTTATGCAACTTTCTTCAGATGATCTCACATTTCCCCTCATTACTTAAATATTGAAAATGTCCTTAGTGACAATACCAACTCCTTGCCAATAAATTTTAATGACCAATAACTAATGATAGCTACCCACTAAAAAGTAGCCAGTAGTTTTAGAGACTTTTAGAACCTCCCTTCCCCTACAAATTCTGAATATTTCTTGCTCCTTTTTCCAATAGTCAACATTACCATGAACATTTATATTTACCTCAGCTTAGTTCAATAAAGTCATTTTATTTAAAGTTTTTTTATCATTGATTTTAGAGAGAGAGGAAGAGAGGTAGAAACATCAATGAGAGAGAACATCGACTGGCCGCCTCCTGCATGCCCCCCATTAGGGATTTGGCTCACAACCCGGGCAAGTGCCATGACTAGGAATCAAGCTGGTGACCTCTTGCTGCGTGGGTCAATGCTCAACCACTGAGTCACACCGACCCGTCATTCAATAAAGTCTTTAATGAGAAAAATATAGCACTATCCTATTCCCTTACCCCAGGAAACTTGCTATGACTATGTTTATTTTTGAACTCCCTAGGTGGAGTTCTAGCACAGCACGTCTTATATTATAAACTTCAATCTTTATGTTTGATTTCCATTATTATGGTGTGCCTCATAAGGGCAGATAAACTCTCATTAGACTTTTATTTTCATAATAGAGACTCACTTCACATATGATCTTTTCAGGTGTCACATGTATGATTTCTGCTTTCCTGATTCCAGTACTTGTAAGACTTAGGCATCTAACAGGCAATATGTAAAAATTTATTGATTCATGTATCAATAAGGAGATGTTTCAAAACCATTAAGTGATTTTTTTGTGTGTGTGGTAACAGCAGGGTGTCCCTTTATTGACAGTGTTCAAGCATCATAACCTGAGGCAGTATTCTTCAGTTCAGTTTGTCGAAATACTTCAGTTTCCCAGCTGGATCTGGGATTATTGTTTCACTACCAGGTTTCCAGCCAGCAGGGCACACTTCGCCATGTTTATCGGTGTACTGGAATGCTTGAACCAGACGCAGTGTCTCATCCACGGATCTCCCCACAGGAAGGTCATTCAGAGTAATCTGTCTCAGGATCCCTTTGCCATCAATAATGAAGAGGCCTCTAAGAGTGTGGCCGGAGTCTTCCAGATACACGCCATAGTCCTTTGCGATCTGATGGGTCAGATCGGAAAGAAGTGGAATCTTTATTGGCCCAAGTCCTCCTTGTCTTCGAGGGGTGTTGATCCAGGCCAAGTGGGTAAACTGTGAATCGACAGAGCACGCCACCACTTCGGTGTTTACAGATCTGAATTCTTCCATTCTGTCACCGAAGGCGATAATTTCCGTTGGACACACAAAAGTGAAATCAAGTGGATAGAAGAAGAAAACCAGGTATTTTCCATTGTAATCACTTAACTTGAGCTCCTTAAATTCTCCATTTATCACAGCGGTCCCTTCCCAATAAGGTGCTGGCTTGGAAATCTTGGCTTTGCTGAGGTGCAGGGAGTGGTCGGAGACCGAGACTTGGGACGCCTCCCCCGGGCACACTTGTCCCCCTGCGCAGGAGTGGCACTCGTCTTCCCGGGCTCGGGGCCTCCCCTCTGCCTCCCAGCGCCGCAGAGCCTGGGCTGGCAGCGCGAACAGCAGCAGGGGCAGCAGCAGCAATAAGCTCCGGCGGGGGGCTGGAGTCATCGCCGCTGGCAGAGGTCCCGGTGCCGCCGTGACCACGCGAGCGCACACACGTCACTTCCGCCGCCACCAGGCAGCTACAATCCTGCAGGACACTTCGCGAGTCCGGGTGCAGTCTCGCGAGACCTGCTCCGCCCTCCTACTCCCCCACCTCTCTGCTCTCGGGTTCCTGGCTCACCATCAAGCAATATCTTTATTGATTCTCAACTAACATGTGCTTATGCTGAATGACCTCTTTAAATGATTTCTAGACAGAGACCCTGAGCATGGAAATCTTTCCTTTTTCATTTAGACAAAAAAGTATTTGTAATATTCAGTAGTCTATGAGTATGGATGCAAGTCACAGTTTTTTTGCAATTTATGCATTGTGAGTGTATATTTCACCTTGAAAACATACGGTGTGAATAAGTTAAAAATTAATATTATATTTCACTTGATAATTATTGAGACATTCCACATATCTTATTCTGTTTGATTCATACCTACCTTCTGAAGCAGATAAGGCGGATTGGAAGAATGACCTACAGTTACAACCATGCAGGGTACAACAACTATACAAAAGTTGCCAGAGAAAAACACGTAGCCATTGATCATAAAAGTCAACTGGAAGGATATAAAAATAGGGGCATGTCTGTGAGCAATAAAAATACTAAGTAATGGTGAAACCAAGCGATGATGTTCGGGTCTGAGTTCATTGTCTCACAAAATCAAAGAATGAGTTCACCGACAAAGGGTACGCAAAAGGAAAGTTTTATTTGAAAGACAGACTCCCCGAAGCAGAGACGGGACCCAAGTGGGTTGCCCATAGGGTTCTGTTGTCTAGGGGTAGATATATGCCTTGCTAACTTTTGATTTGTTCTTTCAGAGAATTCTATCTCAGCAACATCTATACATTGTAAGGTTTGTGCTTTTCCACCAAGCTGGGTTCAGCTCTAAATCATCTTGTTGTTCACAGAAAAACCTAGGCAGGCAAGCTGCACCCTGTCAGTGTTACGAGGTCCTCTAGTTTATTTCCCTTCCCATGGTCTCATCCCTAACTGCCTGGCCTGCCCCTTTGTCCTTGGTGGCCTGGCAGTTAGATCTGGTTGCCTTCCCTCAAAACCAACACCTACTTGTGAAAGTCATAGCTCCGTAACATAGATCAGATCTTTTAAATATTCAGACAAGAGCTTTTAGAAATGAGGAGCTGAATTTGTGCACCAGTGCTGATTTTATGTTTAGTCATGGGTTTTCGCTTTTAAAAAGAGGCAGTACTCTGGCAAAGAGCATAGAAAGGTATTGCTGTCTAATAGTCATTTCTCCCCCGCAACTCACTCTATCATCCATGATAGATGTGTTTGCCTTGAAGAAGCTCTTTTCTGTTGCTTGTGTTCCCCAGAGAGTTAATTCTCATTGTTGCCTTCTGCTAGGAGTGACTGAATCAGGCTGTGGAAGTCCAGTGAGGTTAACTGACCTTAGGGAGGATAAGCAGAGTGAAATGAGGTTACGGTGCGTGAAATGAGTGAGTGCCTAACATCCTGGGAAAGAGAGAGCCGCCTCGAGGTGGAACACAGATAAGACAACTTTACTAACTTTGCTAAGAAACTGATAAAAGACTAACCCTAATCTACCCAGCGCCCTATCCTTCCTGCTCTGTAACCCTAAGGATTTTATGAATTGGATTCTCTCACCTTTCGACTTCTGGTCAGGTTCAATTATTGAGAGACTAGTGTAGCAGATTCAAGAGCAGAAGGAAACAAAAATTTCCCCCCCTTCTTTCTCCCTGATTTATTTCAGAGATTATGGGAAAACCTACATTTCTCCACCAGGTGAACCTTTGGTGCCATCGGGCTCTGGGAACTTCTCCTTGCGCCAGAGGCCTGCGGGTGGCGATTGCTGTTAGTCCTTGAGCACTTCGACATCCCTTACGGGTTCTCCTTTGGGTTTCCTTAATCCTGCCCACACTTCAAGTGAAGAGTCACATCATGGTTCTTCCACTTTACCGCATAACCTCAGCCTCTCCTGCCGTTTGTGGCCCACTGGATTTCCACCAAATGCCTTTGCTCAGCCAGGGGCATGTGTAGAGCTGACGGATGCCTGCGGACTTGAAGAGTGGCATGTGATTACTCCAGGTCCCCTGTTCTCTAGAGAGCTTGTGGGACCCTTCAGACCACAAGTTTTCTTGCTCAGTGTTCCTTCAGCTGTCTCTATTCACGTCCTTTCTCATTTTTATTCTTGCTTCTCTTAATTTTTTTATCCTTTGTCATCTTAGTCATAGATTATTTGTTTCATTATAAGTCCATTGTCATTGATTCCGTTGGCTGATGAATATATGTACTATTCTCTTTTTAAGGACAATTTGATGTGTTGGAATCAGCATTCAGAAGACGCATCTTCGAAAGTTGGCTTGTCCATTTACTTGTTGGCTTGTGACCTCAATAAATTGATTTGTCTTGTGAAGCTGCTCCCTTTTCTCTGTCACAGCAGGGCTGTAAACAGTGCCGCTTGCCTCAAAATTGGTTTAAGGACCAAGGGAGGTAAAGTAAGTAAAAGTGCATAACATAAGACATTATTATTTTATTTGAACATTTAGTAGTCTAAAATAAACCACTTTAACATCATTTGTGATGTATTACACTTACAAATGTCAGAACATGGTGCTTGGAAAGTTATAATAACATTTTATGCACAATCATTTGAAATTTAAATAGAAAAACATTTTCTCCTAGAAAAGGGAGCAAAGAGAGGTTGCTGAAATTATGAACAATTTCTTGCATACTCAAATCCCATTACAATATAGTGGATGGAAAATCATTTGAACAGAATAAAATAAAATCTAATGTGAATAGTAACAGCTAAACTCATCTCCACTTAAATTATGCTATCTTGTATTTCATGTTCAGTCAGCTTTTGACCAATCTCTGTATGATTTTATATATATATATATATTTTTTCTTTCATATGTTGGCCAGTGTTGGAGCAGAGCATTTTTTCAGCAATTTTTTAAAGAGAAAAAAAAATTGCTAAAGATGTTTGCCAAGACTTTTTAGTTTCACTTGTAATAAAATATGTACTTTACATATTATTATTATTATTTTAGGAAATGTCAAGTTAGTCCATAATGCATTTTTCTAACTTCGATTTTAGTGTGTGGATTATAGGACAATAAAAAAAAAAAGGATCGGCATTGTTTTTTGCTGAATGTGCAAATCTGCCATGTAGAAATGTATTTCCTTATATACCTTTGATGAAATATGATGAGGACTCTATATATGTCATGCAAGACCTGCACAAAACCCTCCTGATGGAAAGAGATGTCCTCAGAGCTTTCATTCAGTGTGCTTCCATTGATACTCAGACTGTACTTCCAAGTGACCTTGGAATTCCCATTTACTCAACTATCTTTCTTTTAAACAAGAAAGACTGTCCTCTTTCTTTTCTAAAGAGGTATTAAATAGTTTCCCTCATCATGTCTGCACACCCTTTGTCCTTGTTTTAACATTCAGTCATACATAATCAAGCTGAAAACATCTTTCCTGCACTGGCTTTAACAAAGAAGAAAGGTAACCTCCAGTAAGTATCCATTAAAATGTTCTAACTCTGTATATCACAAAAAGATCAATTTGAAAGTTGCTTTGTTTAAATGACAGCACGAATTTTAAAATTCCTCTCGTGTCTTCTGGAATCATTAGTAGTATGGCCACAATTAGTTTAACAAAATAAAACAGATAAAAACACCTAACAAAGTTTCAGGCAGGCATTAGCAAAGCATAAAGATGCCATTTTTATTGTACTATTGGTGGTATCTTTTTCATATAAAAACGTAGTTTCTGGCCTCATAAAAGAGCAAGTATTCTATTTAGTATTCATCATCTGAAAGAAATAGTGATAATGAACTCTATCCACTAAGATAGAAGCTAATAATATGTGCCAAGACCAGACAGCTGATGTTGAAATATATCGAACCAAAGACAGATATTTCTAAAATCTAATTGTGTGCTTTTTTTCTTTCTTAGAAAATATGTTGATAAGATCTGGATATAATAGAAATTACTAATTACTTGTTGGAGAATCGTATCTCATGATGATTCATTGTTTAAGAAATGGCATTTTTTCTTTAAAATTTTAGCTCTGCTTCTGAGAACTGCCAAACTATCTCTGTGCTTCTGATTTATAATGATGTAGCTTCACAGTTTCAAAAATATATAATCATAATAGCATAACATTATGGTTCTACGTTTATTTAAACTATCATTTTAAACAAAACATCATTGAGATATTCAAGGTTATGTTTACTTTATGGTTAGTGAATTAAAAAAAAATAAATGCATGGGAAATTCAAATTTTCCATGAGAAGGACTTAAGATAATGCTGCTATTAATGACTAAAAAAAATTAATTCTTGAAAAACAAACAAACAAACAAACAAACAAAACGGTGTGAAATATAACCTTCAGTCATAGTACACACATTCCCATTCTTTAATAATCATCTAAAACTTCATATGTTTTTAAAATAAACTTTAGTTTTTAGACCAGTTTTCGGCTCGTGGCAATATTGAGCTGAAGGTTCAGAGATTTATTATATAACTTCTGCCCCCACATATGGGTAGTGTCACCCATTATCAACATACTCTACTAGAGTGTTACATTTGTTATAGTAATTGATAAACTTACCTTGAAACACTATTATTACCCAGAGTTCATAGTTTATCTTAGGGCTTACTCATGGTGTTATATATTCTATAGGTTTGAATAAATCTATAAAAAAGTATCTATCATTATAGTATCACACATAGTAATGAAAAAAATATTTTCATTGGCCTAAAAATCTGTGTTTTGCTTATTCATCCTTCCCTCCCTGCTAACCCATACCAATCACTCATCTTTTTATTATCTCCATACTTTTGTCTTTTCCAGAGTGGCACAGAGTTGAAATCACAGAATGTAGAATTTTCAGATTGGTTTCTTTCACTTAGTAATATGCATTTATGTTTCCTCCATGTCTTTTCATGAGATGATATCTTCTTTATTTTGAGCACTGAATAATATTTTATGTGTGGATGTATCACAGTTTATTTATCAATTTACCTACTGAATGACATCTCTGTTGCTTCCAAGTTTTGCAATTATGAATAAAGCTGCTAAAAACATCCATGTGGACATAGGTTTTGAACTTCGTCAAGTAAATACCAAAGAGTTCAACTACCAGATCCTAAGGTAAAAGTATGTTTGGTTTTGTAAGAAACTGTCAAATTCTCTTCTTAAATGGCTGAGCCATTTTGCATCCCTATCGACACTTAATGAAAGTTCCTGTTGCTCCACATCCTCAGCAGCGTTTGACATTGTCGGTGTTCTGAGTTTTAGTCACTCTAACAGGTATGCGGTGGTAAGTTGTTTTCGTTTGCACTTCCCTGAAGACATATAATTGGAGTACCTTTTAATATGCTTATTTTCCAACTATATGTTTTCTGGGAGAACATATTTGCCAATGATACATCGGATAAAGGGTTAATATCCAAAATATATAAAGTACTCATACTACTCAACAAAGGAAGACAATCCAATTGAAAAATGGGCAGAAGACCTGCATAAACACTTCTCCAAACAGGAAATACAAATGGCCAGGAGACATATGAAAAAATGTTCAACATCTCTAAATATCAGAGAGATGCAAATTAAAACAATTATGAGGTATCACCTTACACCTGCCACAATGGAATACTCTGCAGCTATAAGAAAGAAAGATCTCTTATCCTTTGAGATGACATGGAGAAACCTGGGGAGTACTATGCTAAGCAAAATAAGCAGTCAGAGAAAGACAAGTACCACATGATCTCACTTACTTGTGGAACTTAATGAAAAAAATAAGCTATCGACCAAAAAAGATCTGGAGTCATGGAAGTGGGGCACACACTAATAAACCTCAGAAGGATGGGTGAGGGGTTGGAGGGGTGGGAAGAGGTAAACCAAAGAATTTATATTTATATTTATATTTATATTTATATTTATATTTATATTTATATTTATATTTATATTTATATTTATATTTGCATAACCAATGGACACAGGCACTAGGCTGGGGAAAGCAGGAGGGTGGGAGGAGTAGGGAGGATGGAGTGGGGAGGAGGAAGTCAATGGCAAAAGAGGGGGACTATCAGCATTAAAAAAATAAAAATAAAAAAAGTTTTATTTAACTATATTTGGCAAAATACAGGAGTTATGAGTCAAAAACATCTAGTATGTGTGTTATTTGTTTCTTGAAATTCAGTCTGCACGCTCATAGGCCCATAATAAATAAGGATAAACCTTTTTAGAACCTAACTGATGTAGTGGATGCACTTGATGTTTTGTGTACTCTTTAGCTCTGGTTAAGAAAGATGTATTCCATCTTTGGAGAATATGTGTATCTTTACTTATAGACAGACTTCAGTCTTCTTTAACTATAAAGTTAAGACACATAAATTCACATGAAAGTACAGAAAACGACATCTTAATTGTGTTGTTGTTTTACCTGTTCATATGCACTTAGGAACACTAAGCTGAAATGATGAGGCTGCTTTTAGAAAATAATGGAACAGAGAACCCTTGTAGCTTTGTCTCCCTCCTCTCCAGTGACTTATACACAGCTCTACAGGCATGTCTCCTGAAGATTGGGTTCCAGACCTCGCAATAAAGTGAGGATCACAATAAAGTGATGTAATCCTATTGCTGGTGGAGGCTCTTAGCTTCAATATTTATTTATTTATTTATTTATTATCCTCACCTGAGGACATTTTTGCATTTTTCTTCACATAGAGCTGGAGGGAGAAAGGGTGGAAGAGAGAGAGAGAGAAATATTGATGTGAGAGAGACACACCGACTGGCTGCCACCCACATGACCCCAACCAGGGCAGGGGACAAACTGCAACCAAGGCATGTGCTCTCAGTGGGAACCGAACCCCGGTCTCTCTGGTCCATGGGCCTACACTCTAACTGCTGAGCCAAACTGGGCAGGGCTCTTAGCTTCAATTTTTTAAAAATGCAACATCTATGAAGTAAAGCACAAACAATCTATGCCAATATTTAGCATATAATAAAGGATAATATGTGTTTTTCTCATATTCATAATTTTTATTTCATAAAAATGTAATTGTATTAAAATTACACAATTACATGGGAGTGTTTTCTAAGTAGAATTTGTTATCAGAGAAATGGAAGGATGGTCTGTTTCCATTGCTAGTGGGGGTAGGGTTCTTGGGGTGCCTCTGGAATAAGCATTTCCAGAGGCCCCCTTGGGAGGATGAGATGTGGTAGAAAGCTACATTTTCATGGAATTACATCCCTTGGTTTGCAAAGTCCCATTTCCCTTAAACCTGTCCTGTGGGAGGTGCAGCTGGGGATTCAGCAGAGTTAAAAGCAAAGCCAGAGTCCAGAGCTTCCATCCTCTGGTAGAGCCAGGTCCAGCACAGTATTAGGTTAGTCCCAGTCTAGCAGTCCACGGTGTGGTGTCCATGTGTGCGAATGCAGGAGCTGGGTTAGTTCCAGCCCAGCGGTCCACGGTGTGGGCGAATGCAGGAGCTGGGTTAGTTCCAGCCCAGCGGTCCACTGTGTGGTGTCCGTGTGGGCGAATGCAGGAGCTGGGTTAGTTCCAGCCCAGCGGTCCACGGTGTGGTGTCCATGTGGGCGAATGCAGGAGCTGGGTTAGTTCCAGTCCAGCGGTCCACTGTGTGGTGTCCGTGTGGGCGAATGCAGGAGCTGGGTTAGGTCCAGCCCAGCGGTCCACGGTGTGGTGTCCGTGTGGGCGAATGCAGGAGCTGGGTTAGTTCCAGACCAGCGGTCCACGGTGTGGTGTCCATGTGGGCGAATGCAGGAGCTGGGTTAGTTCCAGCCCAGCGGTCCACGGTGTGGTGTCCATGTGGGCAAATGCAGGAGCTGGGTTAGTTCCAGTCCAGTGGTCCACGGTGTGGTGTCCGTGTGGGCGAATGCAGGAGCTGGGTTAGTTCCAGACCAGCGGTCCACGGTGTGGTGTCCGTGTGGGCGAATGCAGGAGCTGGGTTAGTTCCAGACCAGCGGTCCACGGTGTGGTGTCCGTGTGGGCGAATGCAGGAGCTGGGTTAGTTCCAGACCAGCGGTCCACGGTGTGGTGTCCGTGTGGGCGAATGCAGGAGCTGGGTTAGTTCCAGACCAGCGGTCCACGGTGTGGTGTCCATGTGGGCGAATGCAGGAGCTGGGTTAGTTCCAGCCCAGCGGTCCACTGCGTGGTGTCCATGTGGGCGAATGCAGGAGCTGGGTTAGTTCCAGCCCAGCGGTCCACTGCGTGGTGTCCATGTGGGCGAATGCAGGAGGTGTCCGTGTGGGCGAGTGCATGCAGGAGGGTTAGTTCCAGCCCAGCGGTCCACTGCGTGGTGTCCATGTGGGCGAATGCAGGAGCTGGGTTAGTTCCAGCCCAGCGGTCCACTGTGTGGTGTCCATGTGGGCGAATGCAGGAGCTGGGTTAGTTCCAGCCCAGCGGTCCACTGTGTGGTGTCCATGTGGGCGAATGCAGGAGCTGGGTTAGTTCCAGCCCAGCGGTCCACTGCGTGGTGTCCATGTGCGCGAATGCAGGAGCTGGGTTAGTTCCAGCCCAGCGGTCCACTGTGTGGTGTCCATGTGGGCAAATGCAGGAGCTGGGTTAGTTCCAGACCAGCGGTCCACGGTGTGGTGTCCATGTGCGCGAATGCAGGAGCGTGACTCCCGCAGGCCAGGAGTCAGGCAGGAGCAAGCAAGAGAGTGAGAGAGGGAACTCCTCTTTTATTGTTTTGTATGTGCCCCTAGCGGAAACCAAAGCGGGGACTCTATGTTCCACAGGCTGACGCTTCAACCACTGAGCCAAACCTGCCAGGGCCGGAACTCATCTTTTTAGGCTTAAGTATGTCAGATTCCATGCCCTTGCAGTGGCCACGTCCACTCTAGCCAATGACCTGTTCCCAGGTGTAACTGACAGGCACATGCCTTCCCTACCTCACCTGGACCTTGCTGGGCATGCCTGTAGTATTTGCCTTCCCTTTGTTTCTTCCCTGTTAGTTAATAACCAGGTTATTTATAATGGTATCAGAATAACGTTATAGTGCTTAATGAAAATTGGCCTAACAACAGAATGATAACTAATTAATAATTTTGTCTTTATCTAAAATATTTTAGTTTTTTAAAGACTTTGCAATCAGTAAAAAATAATCTTCTGTTTTGCTTGTTTAATATTAATGAACTATTATAAATGTTTACTATGTTCCAGACACTTTTATAAATTCTATATGTGTATTTTTTTAAATCACATTAACCTAATGTGATCAGTACTATTAGTATCTCTACTTAGAGTCATGGAAGTTAAATTCTTTTCTCCTCTCCCTCTGCCAAGTTCAGGCACCCTGTTAGTTTACTAGTATACTCATTATGATAATGGACAAATAAAGCTAAATCTAAAGGCAGAAAATATAATTTTATAAATTGGAAAATGAATTAATATTAAAATCATTAAATCAGAATATATTTATTTCAAAACTCTTACTAATAAATATTTGATGTGTGTACTGGGATGAATAGTTTCCCTCAAGTATTCATGTCTACATGCAACTCATGAGTGGGACTATATGTAGAAATAGTACTTTGCAAAAGTAATTAAGTTTAAAAAAGCGGTCATACTAGATTATAGTGGGCCCTCATCCAGTGACTGGGGTTCTTACAAGAAA